GAGTCCATTGCCGAGTACCGACAGCGTTTCGAAGCTCAGCTCGCACTAATCGAGGCTGAGGAACAGCGCCAGCTGGCAGCCGAGGCTGTCCGCCTACAGGCTGAAGCGGTGGCAACAGCTGAGAAGCAGCGGCTTCAGGTCGAAGCAGACGCAGATACCCAGGCACGCCGCAAGGAGGCCCAGGATCTGCAACAGCGGCATGAAGCCACCAGCATCGAAAAGCTCAAGTTCTGGCACTTTGAACCATCCGAGGCGCACGACGACGCGACACCGGAGGAGCAGTATAAGGAATTCATGGCCAAACTCGTGACTCGGTTGGTTTACACTTGTAACCACCTGCAGTCCGAGCTGGCGATTCTCTAACGGGCAATGCAGAACCACAAGGATCAGCACGAGGATGCTACACGGGCACTTCATTCCCGTGTACAGGACTTGGAGCAAGCTGCACCAAGACCAAATGCTGGCGAGACCAGCAGTGCACCCTCTACCCGCCAGTTGGAGGAACGAGTTGACCACGTAGTCGCAATGCTCGGCGACATCAATACGTTCGCTGCACCAGCCACCATCAGCAACCAGCTGGACACCTTGAGGACTGAGGTTCAGCAACTGCAGCTGCCTAACAAGGATGGCAACACCACGCAGCATTACAAGATGCCGACATTCCAAATTGAGAAGTTCGATGATTATACGCATCAAGACCCGGTCCTCTGGTGGGAGGGCTTTACGACGCAACTTTGGATTCTGTTTGTCACCAAGCACGCGTACATCGGCGCGTTGTTCCTCAACTCAAAGGGCGGATGCCAGATCTGGTTGAGCCACCTGGCAACCGTCCACGGCGTCGACGTCGCAGATCTGAAAGATAAGATCTCTTGGGAAGACTTAACACAACTATGGAAGAAGCGGTTCATCGTGGACGAAGCCCCAGCGCTCGCCATCAACCGCCTCTTCGCTATGACGCAAGGCAACACAGCAACACGCGACTGGCTCACGGAATGGCAAAAGATCGCAGCAACGCCCGATCTAGAATTGTCATTTTCGCATCTGCGCCGAGAGTTCTACAACCGGTCATGTGCCGCCTTAAGCCTTGCACTTGGTGATCGCGAGCAATACGCAACCTTTGCTGAAATCATCGACAAGGCAAGGGAAATCATCAAGACCAATTGGGCACCTGCACATGAGAAATCAGCATGGCAGCCAACCTATGAGGAGAAGGTGAAAACTGGTCCGCGGCCGCAGCATGTCCCTGCAGTCCAATCGGACAACATTGTGGAAGACCCGGCAGCCACCCAAGCGTCACGTGAGGGAGATCAGGTGGCTGCTATCCAGCCGCGAAGCAACAACAAGTCCCGAGGAAACGGGAAGGCGAAAACTGCATCGCCGGCCGAAAACGGACAGCCAGCACCATGGGTCAAGTTTCACTTGACCGAGGCGGAATACAAGTGGCGCGGCCGCTACGGCTGCTGCTATTGGTGCAACAGCACCAAGCACAAGACCTCCCTCTGCCAGGATCAGGGCAAGGAGGATGTTCGGCCTCGTATCAACTCGAGAAACTGAGTTCCGCGGGAGGTGAGGCGACTCCCACTCCGCCAGATTCGGCCGCCTTGCTAGCGGCCTCCTACACATCTGGGGAGGATGCGAATGTCGTAAGTTCTCGATATGCTTACGAGGACTATGCTGTCCACTTGGTCCCACTGTTGGACCAACCGCTCCGCGTGCAACAATCCACCGCATGCACGGTCTCACTACCATCGGCAACCGAGTCGGCAGCTTCGCCGCAATCTATAGCCATGGATTCGACGACATGGTCAAGACTTGAAGAGCTCGACCCGTTGACGTTCACGAACTTCCAATGGATGCCCCTTCCCCGGTCCAGTCGATTGTCGAAACCGCATTGCAACGTGCTCATGGCACAATTGCGGGATTACTTGCACACTGCAGTACCAACTCCGTTGATGGACGCCGGAGTAAAGGTTGTCGACCTTCACGCCTACATTGCGAAGATCGACCGCGAGTTCAAGACACAACGGTACGACGACATCGACGCACCATTGTTGTACATACGCATTCAGATCGGAGAGGCGACCTGCAGCGCTTTGATCGACTGCGGAGCTACTCGCAACTACATGAGCCAGGACTTTATGGTACGCATCGGCCTTGGCCCACGCGTCCGGAGGAAGTCCCAGCCTACGCAAGTCACATTGGCGGACGGTCACACGCACAAGTCAATAGACCGGTGCATAGATGACGTCCCCGTGTACTTTGCCCCGCATGCAAGTGAGGTGGTGTCCTTCGATATTTTGGACACCAAATTCGACATGATCTTGGGCATGCCATGGCTGCAAAGCGAGGATCACCCGGTGAACTTCTACCGCCGCACCGTTCACGTTCGTGATCGGAACGAAGTACTAGTCCCATACACGGTACCTCCTCCTCACCCTTCGATCAGTTGTCACGTGGTGTCCACTGCAAGCATGCGATCTTCCATCATCGGAGACGACATCGAGGAGATGGGGGTGTGTTTTCTCCACGCCCTCCCGCCCCATGACGCTTCATCGATCACCGAGCTTCTCGATGCCTACGGCGACGTGTTCGAAGGCCCGCACGGAGTAGTACCGGATTGGTCCATCCGCCACGAGGTCATCCTCGAGGACGAGGCTGTACCTCCGCGTGGTTGCATCTACCGAATGAGCGAGGAAGAGTTAAGTGTGCTACGGGCACAACTCGGCGACCTTCTGGAGAAAGGCTGGATTCGGCCTAGCTCATCGCCATATCGTGCTCCCGTTCTCTTCGTCTGGAAGAAGAACAAGGATCTGCGGTTGTGCATCGATTATCGCAAGCTCAACGCGCAAACGGTCAAGAACGCCGGCCCTCTTCCACGCATCGACGACCTCCTCGAACGGTTGGGCGGCGCCAAGTTCTTCTCCAAGCTAGACCTCAAATCGGGATATCACCAACTCGAGATCCGACAGGAGGACCGCTACAAGACCGCGTTTAAGACGCGATATGGGCACTTCGAATGGCTGGTTATGCCTTTTGGCCTTACGAATGCCCCGACCACATTCCAAGCGGCTATGACAACGGAGTTCCGACACATGCTGGGTCGATTCGTACTTATTTACCTAGACGACATTTTGGTGTACAGTCGGAGTTTGGACGAGCATGTGGAACACCTGCACACCGTTTTGGAGCGGCTACAACAAGCGAAGTACAAAGCCAACCGCGACAAATGCTAATTCTTGCGGCAAGAGCTGGAGTACTTGGGACATTATAAGACGCCGCAAGTCATCCGTCCGCTTGCGGACAAGATCGAGGCCATCCGCGTATGGCCCAAGCCCACCAACACCACGGACGTCCGTTCATTCATGGGGTTGGCGGGCTACTATCAGCGATTCATCACCGGGTACTCAAGGATTGCTGCACCTATGACGAGATTACAATCGCCAAAGGTGCCATTCGTATTCGATGATGACGCACGCCGGTCATTCCAAGCACTTAAGACGGCCATGCTCATGGCACCCGTCCTTAGCATGTATGACCCCACCCTGCCTACAAGAGTGACAACTGACGCTTCCGGCTACGGCATTGGGGCAGTCTTGGAACAACACGACGGCGACGACTGGCACCCTATGGAGTATTTCAGCCACAAAGTGCCCCCCATCAATTCGCTTGATGATGCAAGGAAGAAGGAGCTGCTCGCGTTCGTGATGGCTCTCAAGCGATGGCGGCACTTCCTCCTTGGGCGTCGTAGGTTCACATGGGTCACGGACAACAACCCATTGACCTACTACAAGACGCAGGATACGGTGAGCAGCACGATCGGACGATGGATGTACTTCATCAACCAATTCGACTTCACACCGAAACACCTCCCCGGCCTCTCCAATCGCGCAGCAGATGCACTCTCGCGAAGACCCGATCTTTGCGCTATGACACATCATGCCTTCGCATTCGACGAGGAACTCCAGTGACACTTCATCCGGGCTATGAGTCTGATCCGGACTTCGCCACCTTGTATGCACAACTATCTTTAGATCACCCGCCGGCCAGCCACTATCGCATTGCCGACGGGTACTTGCTCCTCCACTCAAGAGGTAAGGACTTACTATGTGTCCCATGAGACCGTCGTCTTCGGACTCGCCTTCTCGGCGAGTATCATGATTCGCTACTCGCCGGCCATTTCGGAGCCAACCGCACTATTGCACGGCTTCGACAACGATTCCGATGGCTCAACCTCATTACCGATATCACTCGGTATTGCGACTCTTGCGAAGTTTGCCGACGAAGCAAGCCCCGCAATCGTAACCCCTACGGCGGTTGCGCCCAATGCCTATCCCACGGGAACCCAGCCTCTCCATTGCCATGGATGTCACCGGACCATTTCCCCGAGATCGCCTCGGGCACGACGGCATCCTCACGGTCGTGGATCGTTTGAGTAAGTATGCGTGTTTTCTCCCTTGCAAGTACTTCTCCACGGCTCCCGAACTGACACACTTCTTGCACACCGGTTGGATTTGCAGCCACGGTGTCCCAGAAGACAGTGTCAGCGACCGCGACACTCGCTTCATGTCAACATTTTGGACTGCTCTCATGCAGGAGTCCGGCACAAAGATGAAACCAAGTTCGGCTCGGCATCCACAGACGGAGGGGCAAACAGAGCGGGCACATCAAACCGCTCAAATGATGCTTCGTACGCTCATCCGTCCGGATAAGAAAGATTGGGTTGACCGACTCCCCGACATCGAGTTCGCCTACAACACTTCGGTGCACCCGGCAATCGGCGTGACTCCATTCGAGTTGCACCACAGTGGACGGAAAGGTCGTATCTTCGCCGATCTGCTCCTCCCACGACCAGCCGACATTGACGCCCCTTGCTCTCCCGCTTCCGTCCGGAAGTACAGGGAATTGCTGGCTCCGCGCCGGTGACCTGGTTTGGGTCTCCGCGAAAGAGTTTGCACTGGAACAGGATGTTTCACGCAAACTGCTTCCCAAGTGGTTTGGACCATGGCCCGTAACATCAGCCGCGGGCGATGAGCCCGATGGCCCTTCATTTGTGATCAACATCCCCCCGCATCTGACGGTCCATCCAGTCTTTCACGCCTCGGAGCTGGTGACATACACACCAGCTAAGAGCGACAACTTCCCGGGCCGACGATCGCATAACCCTCCTTCTATGGATGGTCATCAGGAAGTTGACCGCGTCATCACGGATCGCAAGTACGGCAGCAAGCCTCGACAATACAAAGTTACATTCAAAGCATGCGATCCCGACGACACTCGGTGGATTTCAGGAACAGATTTGAAAGCATCCGCACCGCTGATCTACGCTCACTGCGAGCGGCAAAGGTTAGCTCAGGGAACTTCACGACCTGCCCCTCCCACCCGGACCGTGGTCCCTCCCTCAGACAGACAGACAGACAGACAGCTTCGCCCTTGCAGGTAAGCTCGGTCTTTCAAGGAGGGGGGGGGGTGGCATACTGTGTAGCCACACGGGCCTGCAGGGCCCGTTCCGCATTCTCAGCCTAAAAGCCTAGAAATAAGGGCTTACAGGCCCCATGTCGTTCAGCCTGAAAACTGAAAACGAGGGCCTGCAGGCCCTATTTCGTTTTCAGCCTAAAACAGGGCTTTTCAGCCCTGAGTCTTTTCAGCCAGAAACGGAGGGCCACTTTCGGGCCCTCATAAGATCGACCTGCCCTAACACTCAGGCACAAAACCAGGGTTTTGGGAACAGGCTATTTCTGGCCTGTTCCCCACGACAGCCTCAGCAGGAGCTGCAGCGCCAGCCCCTGGTTCGCCCTGGCATTGGCAAGAGCAGCCTCCTGGACTGCCTCGCCCTGCAGTTGCAGGCAGTCAAGAGGTAGGCCGAGTAGTACATAGGTAGTTGGACAGAAGGCAGGAGGCAGTCTTCAGGATTCGGCCGCAGCACTCTGGAGGAGCGCTGCAGGAGTAGCTTAGCGCTAGCAGTAGTCTTCAGCGCTGGGCGCTAGTAGCTGCAGGAGTAGTCTTCAGCGCAGGGCGCTAAGTAGTGGTAGTGGTAGTAGTATTGGAGAGAGATGGCTGGCGGAGGCCAGCGAGACTTACCTGTGGCACCATAGCTCCAGCTCCATCTTCGAGGTACCTGCATCAAGGCGCCAGCTTCACAGGTTAGTACCGGACAGAGAGAGAGAGAGAGTTCTTCTTCTTCCTCTTCGAAGTCCACCATCTCTTCTCACCCTCTCACCACCTGACTTCTCAGTATCAGCAGACAACGACAGAGAGAGAGAGAGAGAGTTGTGACTTGAGACTTGACGACATTGGATCCAGACTCGACATTGGGATTCAGACATTTTGACGAGGGACTATTTGGGCCTGTGCCGAAGACTTGGTGTTGACGACATTCCCATCTTCCCCTCTTCTTCGTCTAACCCCCCTCTTCTTCGYCTGTGTATGGTTGGGGCTGGCGCATTCTTCCTSTGTGAGCGCCAGACCCCTTCACACCATGGAATGATGATGATGATGTATGTTYGGGCCTGCATTGCAATATTGATTGTTCGGATCATTGGTATCTAAGTCTTCCGCTACGCTATCTTGTACTTTGTATGAGAGGTCGGTTCTTGTTCTGGCCTGCACCTTTACAGTATGCAACACGCTGGCCCAGCCCAGCCAGGCCGCAGGGCAGGCAGACTCTTTCCATATAGGAAAGAGCTTGCTGCCTGGAGGGGCAGTCAGGCACTTGCCAGTTTGTGCGGCAGCGCTGCTGGAGCGTAGGCTCGCGTGCTGCTGTGTGCTAAGGGCAAGATGTTGTGTGCGTGCGGTCGTGCGAGAAGAAGGGCGCTGCTGAGGGCAGCGCCATAGCCCAGCCTCCATAAGTGGCTGGGGCTTGGACTACAGTGAGGCGCAGGGTGGTCTTCGGGTGTACAGAGGGAAGATGTGGGTGAAAGTCGAGGGAGAGAGAGAAGGATGATGATGATGATGATGATGATGTGAGGGCACATACCGGGTATTGGTGATGGTCTGCATTGATCGACATCTTCAAGTACTTCGTTGGCTGTTGACTTCAACAGTTGCATTGTCAATTAGTAGGCAGATAGAAGCTGTGTAGGGAGTAGGTTGGGCGCCGAGCACCAAGTAGGGAGAAGGGCCTGGACACTTATGTTGGTCGTGGCGAGAGCAAGCTCTCATTGACGTTCGGTTTTCAGTGCTACGATTCTCCATTGGTGTTATATTGGTGCAATGCTGCTTTCTGGACATTGTGATACTTTCTGGCTTTCTATGTGATTGTGCAATCTGGATATTGTCATCTTGCTATTGCTCATTTTCCTTGTATAAATAATAATAATAATAATATTAATAAAAATCCAGCAACAACCTATGTTATGCAGAAACATAAACTGAACAACTTTTGTCTCGATGTCACATCGAAATACTTTACCAAAAATAAATTAAAAAAATAAAAATACCAAAAATAAAATAAAAAAATAAAAAAATAAAAATTATAATTATATAATATTTTACTTTTTATTTTTTTGGGCCCAGTCAGGCAAAAGGTCCCGGGCCACTCAGGTAGCCTAAAATTATCTCTTTATATTACTTTGGATCACCAACTGCTTATTTGATTGGCTGATTGATTGTTTGATAGGAAACAGAAAAAAACTGCACATTAGTGTGTATGACTCTCTCTCTCTCTCTCTCT